TGAAGGAGAGTTATGAACGTAACTAATGAATGTAGCTAAACAAACCAAAAATACACAAATGTTTACAATCAGCTCGTGTGAAAGGAACGAATCACTGGCTTATTTTGCAATCATTACTGCGCGAAGGTCTCTTGTACCGGCTGAAAGTCCAAACGTCTGCACGAGCTCACATTTTTCCCACAGGGCTAACTTCCCTGAAACTATGAAAAGATCTTGAATTTCAGATCAGTTTACACTTCCTGAAAACAAACCACAGAGACTTCAGCACCATCCAGAACGAAGTAACAGGATAAGTGAACAGGCTTCAATAATGGTAATAATTAGAAGTGGCCAAATCCTTTCCTATCTTTTAATCATATAATGGCCCCGTTCTTTCTTTATTAGGAGCGTGGAGGAAGAAGGTGGCATGAGGAGCAATTTAAAAGCTTGGAAGAAAGCATCGTTCATATCACCCGCTTTCCTTTGAAATAATAATCCGATCCAAGTTAAGGATCTAACGACAACAAAAAGGAGCACTTTCACTAACAGTGTTTTTATTATCTTAATAGTATGGCAGAATGCTTTGAGGGAACCCACAAGATTATTCCAGGAATCAGAAGAGCCTCAAAATAAAAAAATAATTCCAAAAGGGAAACTTTGGGCAAAACAGAAGATCAGATTTTAAAATCTGAACATCAAAGGAATGCCTTGAAATTGCTGACATTTATTCACTGGCAAGTCCAGGAGGTAAACTGAGAAAAATGGGCTGTGTATTTTTTTTTCCCTTCACCCACTCTTTTTTCATGTTGCTCTTCTGCCACAATCTTTTAAGCTAATAGAATCTGTAATGGACTATTAATTTTCCCACACATTAAAAAATTAATTGAATTACATGTCTGATTAGAGATATATACGCAATGCTTTGAGGGGTGGGGGGAGTGGGAGAGAAATTTCAGGAGGAGAATATGATCAGCTTAAAAGTCCTTCCTGATCAAGTAACTTTGTCTGCCTCAAGTTCCCATATTCCTCGGTGTACATTTTAAGATTACAAAAACATATTTTAACTGAATTACCTGGCTAACGCTGAACATGGAAAAGAGTTTTATATAGCACCATATAAAACGAACTGAGCCTCAGAAGAGCTGACAATCAAGATACACTGAAGTTTGATTTCATCCATGTTTAGAAGACTGTCTCACTCATGGGTGGGATGTCGCATCACACATTAATCCAGTGTGACTACATTATTCCTAGAAAAGTACTTAATTCTAAGGAGCTGGTGGGGAAGATCTGGAGGAGAAATATCACGGCCTGCCAATCAATCTTGGTTATAATTAAAAGGGGCCGTATAATTGCTGTCTACATGCCAGAAAGCCCATCACTCTCCATTTCTCCTGCTTTGATAAACCAAGCGTTGCAATTCCAGGCTCCTTGTCTTAATCCATCAGCTCAGCCAACTGGAACTGTAGAACTGGGGCAGAAGCAGGCCACAAATCTATGGGGCACCAGGTAGCTTCGCCTTGCTGGGGACAGGTGGGGCTTAGAAGGCAAAGCTCAGCGGTGCCAAACTCCAAGTATGCAACCAAGATTAACCCTGATAATACAGTTGGAAGTGCAGAGATCAACCTGCCCCAACTTGAACCGAACTGTCTACAAGTTAAAACACGGATGTAAATATAGCCATGACATAAACAACCCGCTCGATCCCTGAAGGCGCACGATGCCCTACGAACTGAAGGCTCTAATGTTCCACAGAGAGCAGCAACAAAAATGCCTGTTTCGACAGCTAAGTCTCTGTGTTTGTTCCAGATCCTCTTGGTGGCCCTCACGTCAAACGTTGCCCGCTGGAAAAGTTCTCGAGTGCTCAATGTTTGTGGAATCTGAGCAGACCTGGGCACAATCGCTTTTAATCAGCGGCTTCAAAGGCCCTAATTCTCAGCAGAGAAAAAAAAACCCAACAGGCCTTTTCTCAGTATTTGGGCGCTTACGGCATGCTGCTTTGAACAAACAAGAGAGCTGAACTGAGCTACACTTCCTGCACGCATGACTATGATAAACTTGTGGCCAGCTCACAGGGGCAAGGAAGATGGGGGAAAGATACTGTAAGGCGTAGATAAACTTCATTAAATACACAGTGGCTAACAGAGGAGAGAGCTCTCCCCTTCGCTAAGGAGGCAGGGCGATTAACTTTGTATACCACCACAACTTCAAAAACACTGGAAATAGAACTCTTTTCAAAGCAGCATGATTCGGTTGTGGAAAGCAACAGGCCCAAACCAAGATTGGAAATCTCAACTGGCAATCTGATACCTTAAAATTCACATCTACTCAAAGATGAGCGAATATACCGATGTTTGGTGGATTCACATGAAGAGCCAAACCAGACTCGGTTTCACCCATCCTGCATTCAGATTGGCTGTTTTTTTTTAAATTTTGCATGTGTTGGAGAAGGGCAAACATTGGGAAAGAGGGATCCTGAAACATGCACCAATTCCTAGGAAGACTGGAGCAGATCTTCAAACGATCTACCAAACCAAGGAAGCATCTTGCAAACTTTAACATGGGTTTGTTAAGAACAGATCTTGACCGGCTAACTTTATTTCAAGTTTTGATTTGGTAACTGTCATAGTAGACTGATTGTCCCACAAGTTCCTTAGACCTGACGGTAAGTCTTCGCTTGAGCAAAACCTTTGACAAAATATACGGCATTATTGTGGCTATCAAACTAGATAAGCATGGGTGGCATGACAGTTAAATGAACAGCTCAAAAATTAGCTCAAAAAGCTAAGTGCCTCAAAAAGTGTTCATCATTTATTCGTCTTCAGACTAGAAGAAAATACCATGTGAGATACCAAAAGGTTAATTCTCAGGCTGTGCACATTTTTATTAATCACATGAAGGAAGTGGAGGGAGAATGCTTATCATATTTGCAGATAACACAACATTGAGGGAAGTAGCTAATATCTTCAGACCACAGCAATAAAATTCAGAACGATCTTGATAGATTAGAGAAAGGGCCTGAAGATGCCAAAACGAAATTTAAGAAAAACCCTGCTCCAAGTTAGGAAGCTGAAAATCAAAAGCACAGGTAGAGAAAAAGGGACACCCTACTAGACGGTACTTGTGGAGAATGTCTAGGAAAAGGGGTGGCTCACGGACTTGAGTATGAGGAAGTGATGTGGTATGGCTACAAAAAAGGCAGATGGAATTTTAGACTGCCTCAACAGAAGACCAGCTCTGAAAACACAGGAAGTCACTCTTTACGCTGCATTAATCAGACTCCATGTTGATCACTGTGTTGAGTTTTCAGCAACACACACACACACGAAGGACTCACACTAACTGGAGTAGATCCAGAAACGGCCAAGAGAATGACCAGGGAACTGGAAAATAAGAGAGAAGGGAGGCCCTAGAAATGTTTAACCTTGAGAAGAGAAGAACAAAGAGCAATTTAGCAGCAGCTATCGGGATGTTACAACAGACATCAATCCTATCCACAAAGGAACATCGAAACCTGTCCTCGGATCGTCCCAGAACCCAGAATAAGGGCCTGAAGGGACAGGTAAGCAGATTCCAAGTGAATATCCTGAAAAAAATAGCAGCCACTTCCTAAGAGCCTGACTGTGAGGCTATCAAGAAAGATTGCAGACTTCCCTTCGCTGGATGAGCTCAAGCAGAAGGAGGTCAACCATCTGTCAGGAGTGGTTTACTCTGGATTTCTGCACGGAGCAGGTCCTTGGCCTGGGTGGTTAAAGCAGACACCCACCCACTCCTGTCTCCCAGTAGCAAATCATCATTCATAGGATGAGGAAATGAGCTGGACATAAAAGGCTGAAGAAGAGGAAGAGGAGGAAAGAAAATGTGACTTGAGGCCTCATCATGGTATGCCATGTTTAGTGAAGAGCCTCTGACCTGGAAGTGTCTAAATGCAGCCCCCAGGCTAGCCGGGATGATGATAGTTTCTTTCCTGCCTTATTATAAACAATGGTTAATTCAGCTGCGCTTCCCTTAAGAGAGTCCTGTGGATTAAAGCTGTATAAAAGGCTTCTAAACAAACGAATAAATACATTTCCAATGCCGGGTTGCATGCAAAAGCTACAAAGGATGAGGAAAAAAAAAAATCCAAGCTCTTTCCCGCCTAGGCATCTGATCCTGTTTCATAATAATATGATGCAAAACAAGATGGAATTAAGCAAGGACGAGAAGAATGAAACATGACATTAAATGATTTAAACAACCTTTAACATTCAAGTTTAGAAATTTAGCCTTGGGAGAATGTTACGATGTCTGGTTATAAACACATTGTGCAGAAGATCCAAAACAATCTGGAAAAATACCACAAAGCCTGAACTTTGCATCTAAACACTTTTGGGGAGAGTTCCCGGGCCATACTTTTGGGGGTCCTTTTTGCTCATTAGCCCTTGGGGGTGGGGGTGGGGGGGCACTGGAGACAATAAAGCCTGACCGGAAGGTTTATTTGCCTTTTGAGCAAGGTCAGATTTGGGGGTGAGGGGTGGGAGGAAGGAACCCAATGCACCCCAAATTTGTCTTGCCTTGGTCTTCCAAGAAACCCCCCAATTCTTTTCAGTGGAGAAAAACACCCGAGAAAGAAACCCAACCCACCCCACTCAAAAACACGAGATGCATTTGGGGGGGGGGGAAATCTGCCAGGATTTCCCCTCCTCCCAGCCTGGCAGCAGGACCCCCCCTCCCCTTACAGCCCCCCTCCCCCCACTTGCCAACCTGGGCTTTGCCAAGAAGCCCCCTCCCCAAGGAAATCGGGGTGCAATTCCTGGACCCCAGAATTGCAAAGAGACCCCCGTTGCAAAACTCCCTCGAGGAAAGGGGGGAGCCCTAGCTGGGGGTCCCCTCTCCCCCCCCCCCCCCCCCCCCAGTGCTATGGGGAACCCCAGCCCCCCCTCCCCCGGCCAGGCAGCTCAGCCCCCCTCCCCCAACAGGGCAGGGACCCCCGCGGGAGGGCAAAGACCCCCGCCAGCCCCCCCCCAGGCACCCCCACTCACCTGCATGCCGGGCACCTGCACGGCCACGGGCGAGAGGGCCATGGCGGCTCCGAGGAAGAGGAGGAGGAGGAGGAGGAAGGCGGCCTGAGCTGCAACGGGGCCTGCGGGGGAGGCGGCGGGAGAAGCAGGCTGGGGGGGCTCCGCAGAGGCCCCGCCCGCCCCAGGCCCACCCCGGGCCCGCCCTCCCGCACTCCAGAGCCCATCCTCCCCGCCCGGACGGCCCTCCCAGGCAGGGCGGCGGCGCCTCCGAGGGAAGGAGGGAGGGCCTAGCCGGGCCTGAGGCCTGGTCCCAGGGCGCGGGCGGGGAAGGGGGCTCCGAGGCCGACCCCCGCCGTCCTTGGGGGGCTCCCCGCCGCCGCCGCCGCCCCCGGCCCGCCGCTCGCTCCGGCTCACCTTTCCGCCGCGCAGGGGAGCCGGCGCCCGCCGAACTACAGCTCCCAGCATGCCCCGCGCCGGCGCCGCCGTCTTTGCCGCAGGGGCTGCCGGGAGTTGTGGTGCGAGCCAGGCCCCTCTCAGTCTGCAGGGCTTGCAAAGCGGGCAGCGCCGGGGAAAGTGGGGGGGGGGGGTTTGTCTCAGCCTGGCATGCATCATCCCCTCCCTCTGCCCCCCTTGCAGGGCATCCTTCCCGCCCCCTCCTGCATTGCATCACGTTGAGCAAGCCTCCCTGGGTGTCCCCCCCTCCCCTGTGACAGGGGGTTGGACTAGATGACCTCCAAGGTCCCTTCCAACTCTGTTACTGAACTGAACTGGAGGAGGGCCCCCCCCACCTCAAATCGGCAGCAGGAGCCAGGTTTAGGGTTTTTTCTCCTCCTCCTGAATAAATGGGGAAGGGGGGAAAGCTGGGGTGGGGGGGCTAAGTTAAGACTCTGCTCCTCCCCCTTTGGGCTTGGTTTGTTGATGCCCTTTGGGTGCCCGTTTTGTGCCCTCTTGACCGCTTCTCTTTCGCTCGCTGCCATTTTCTCGGGCTGCAGCTTGGCGTGAAGGCTGCTTTGGAAGGGACAGAGTAGCGTGGGACAAGGAGGAAGAAGTCGGGATCTCTGCATCAAAGCAAGAATGTACCGTTTCCCCCAAAATAAGACCTCCCCAGATAGTAAGCCCAAGTGGGCTTTTGAGCGCATGAGCTAAAATAAGCCCTCCCTGAAAATAAGCCCTCCCCAAAAATATTTAAGCACATGCTCAGCCGGTCCCCACCATTTCCTCGGGTTAGGGAGACAGAGGTGGAAATCAGGGAAAACGGCAAGAGGAGCCCCATCTTGCTCCAAGCACCCCAAAATAATAAGACCTCCCCAGAAAATAAGGCCAAGCGCTTATTTCGGGGTTCAAAAAAATATAAGACGATACCTGGCACAAACCAAGACAAAGCCAGCTTTCTCCCCCGAACCCAAAAAGAAAACAAGAGTGATGACACCATGGCTAAAAATACAGTGAAAAGTGCTCATTGGTTCTGTGTCCAATCACACTTGGCCAATAAAGAATTCTGTTCTGTTCTGTTCTGTTCCATTCCATATATCCTATCCTATCCTATCCTATCCTATCCTATCCTATTGGTTCTGTTAACTTTGGGGTTTTAGCCCACTGTAAAGCGGGGGTGGGGGTGGGTGGGAAGGCATTCCCGGGAAGCAAACTACATATCTCCAAAAATATCAGTGAAATATTTATGAAAACAGAACGTAAACAAGTTTCGAGTTCTGGAAATAGGAGAAGAGCCAGGGTGCACAGAGAGTCGTGCGTCTTAAAAGTGAAACGAGTTCTTCTGCAAAGATCCTGCAGATCAGTGATGATGGACCTACGTCATATGTGTGACACACCATAACGTGTTGGGTGACATGCCAGTGTTCACCAACACCTGACTTTTTCAGTGGCTGTGAATAGGTAAAGAATTGTTTCTCTTTTGTTCGGGTGTGACCAGCACAGTCGAGCATTTTCTGAACTTTTGACACGCCAAGCCCAAAAGTTTCACCATCGCTAATCTAGGATGTTTCCTCCTGCTCTCTACAATGCCCAGAGGTCTCTTCTTAACACTTTCCATTTCCCTGGGGAAGAGATTGGGCCACTCTTAGCATGGACATGCTTCTTATGCCCCTGGGTTTGGCCGTATAATAGAAATAATGCCGTAAACCTGGATTTAGCCATCCTTGCATCAACAGCCCTGGTGGCTATTCAGTTGGCTACTTTTAATTAACCAAGGCTTCATCGGAACGGAACAGGACAACTTACCACAGTCAACTCATCGTGGCCAGTTGTCTGTGGCCAACTTGCCTTGGCCAACTCACCGCAGGAAAACTCGCCACGGGATTCACTTAGTTCCTTTTGTTGTTGTTGTTTTTGACCACGTTTTTGTCAACATTATTTCCTCTCATACATCAAAGGAAAACATTCTTATGACTAACAGTTTTTGTAATGCCTTGATGAATAATAAAAGGAATTAATCCCACTTTGAATTGTTCTGTGATGAGTTGGCCGCGGTGTGTTGGCCGCGGTGAGTTGTCATAGGCCAGCAGTCTCTACAACTCAGCAGGGTGTCGTTCAGGCAGTGGTAGGTTGCCCCCGGTTCGGACCGGTTCGCAAGAACCGGTAGTAAAACTGGTGGGAGGCTCCACCCACCACCCCGGATGTCATCATAGGCGATCTGTGCATGCAAGGAAGCGAGTTGAACAAGGAAGCGAGCGCGCGAGTGCGATCCCGTTGCGAACCAGTAGTAAAGGGAAGTAGAACCCACCCCTGCGTTCAGGCCAATGATGGATCTAAGGGTACCTGAGGTCCCAGCAGAGGTGGGTTCTACTTCCCTTTACTACTGGTTTGCAATGGGATCGCGCTTGCTTCTGCGCATGTGCAGATTGCCTATGATGACATCCGGGATGGTGGGCGGAGCCTCCCGCCAGTTTTACTACCGGTTCTTGTGAACCGGTCCAAACCGGGGGCAACCCACCACTGGTGCTTCTTGTCTGTTTATCAGGCAGAAATCCAACAGGGAGTGTTTTTGCCTGTCTGAATGTGTTAGAAAATATCGGATGCTTTTTAAATAAGTTCCTGAATCCTCCTCCCCTCCTTGCATGAGAGGCTCCTACGTATGTGTGTGTGTGTGTGTGTGTGTGATACTGGTTTAGTCAGATGGGACTTCCTGCTAACTTTCTCTGCTTCCTTTTTCACAAAAGCTTAACCTTCGTTCATCCGCTGCCAGGGCACTTTTGACTCACGGTAGCAAACCTCTCACACTGACTTCCCTCCCTATGAGGGAAGATGAGGAGAGATGATGGTGAGGAGTAATCGACCCCCTCTGGGATCCTGATCTGATGCTTAGCATGATGAGAAAAGTTGTCCCTTCCTGAACCAACAAAGGCAACATCGCTGCCCTTTGCAATTTTTTCCATGCCCCGTGGGTAGTTTTTAGAACATGCACTTCAGTTTCTTACAGATTGTGCCAATGTCTGCTCTCATAATTGTTGAATGTTCCTCTTTTTCAGCCCAAAGTCCATCATCAAAATAAGTTTCTGAAAGCGGGATGGTTTTTGTTATTTTGTCATACGTATCAGAGGTGGGTTTCAGCAGGTTCTGACCAGTTCTGGAGAACCGGTAGCGGAAATTTTGAGTAGTTCGGAGAACCGGTAGTAAAAATTCTGACTGGCCCCACCCCCCATCTATTCTCTGCCTCCCAAGTCCCAGCTGATCGGGAGGAAATGGGGATTTTGCAGTAACCTTCCCCTGCTACACCCACCAAGCCATGCCACGCCCACCAACCCCCACCACAGAACCGGTAGTAAAAAATGTTGAAAACCACTGAATTACGTATGCAATTTTTTTAAAAAATTTTTTTACATCATTAACATGCAAGATACGTTGTTTCACCTACAAGATAAAGTTTGCAAGATTTTAAAAAGCTGCTGTGGCATTTTACATCGGCCTCACTAAACTTCCTTTCAATGGGAAGTTCTCTGCACATTACAGCTCTCCATATAATAGGCTGGTGGGGAAGCAGTGGCCATTCATAATAGCTCTGTGCTGCCCCCTGGCATCTGATGTTATTCCTATAAAAATTTATATTATGCCGATGAAACTCTGCTGCTGAGCTTCTCAAAGTCGGCTCACAGGTAGGAAGTGACGATTTCCCATCTCCGTGACATGTACAAAGCTCACAATGTACAATATTGCGGCTCTTCTTTCACAGAGATGGTTGCAAAGTCTTGAGAAATTACCTCTTTTTGTCATCCTTGTTCAACCAGAGTTTAAGGCTGCCCTTTGTTTTTTGCACAAGGTTCTGTTTTTATTTTATTTTATTTATTTAATTTGTCAAATTTATACGAGGTAACGGGAATAAGTATAAACATGGACATGAGTACAGGAAATGGGTACGAATAAATGGGTGCAGTAGGACAGGAATGGAAGGCACGCTGGTGCTCTTATGCACACCCCTTACAGACCTCTTAGGAATGGGGTGAGGTCCACGGTAGACAGTTTAAGGTTAAAAGTTTTGGGGGTTTGAGGATGTAACCACAGAGTCAGGTAGTGCATTCCAGGCATTGACCGCTCTGTTGCTGAAGTTGTATTTTCTGCAATCAAGTTTGGAGCAGTTTACCTTGAGTTTGTATCTATTGTTTGCTCGTGTATTATTGCGGTTGAAGCTGAAGTAGTCATTGACAGGTAGGACGTTGTAGCAGATAATTTTGTGTACTACGCTTAGGTCAGACCATAGGCGGCGTAGTTCCAGGTTGTCGAAGCCCAAAATTTCAAGCCTGGTGGCATAAGGGATTCTATTGTTAGCAGAGGAGTGGGGGACTCTTCTCGTGAAATATCACTGGACCCGCTCAATTGTATTAATGTCCAATACACAGTGCGGGATTCCAGGCAGACGAGCTGTATTCTAGAATTGGTCTGACAAAGGTTTTGTATGCCCTAGTTTGCAGTACAATATTAGAGGAGAAGAAGCTTCGATCGTTTGAGATAAGTTACTCCAAGGTCCTTGACAGAGTGAGGGTCGTCTACAAGGTCATATCTGCCCAGCTTGTATTTGTTGTTCTGATTTATATATATATATATTTTGCCAATGTGTAAGGCAGAGCATTTGTTTTTGTTATCTGCGATCCATGCTGCAGACCTCCCCAAATTGCACACATCTTTTTGAATTTAAAAAAGAAAAAGAAAACACCCTTCCACACTTTTCTTGAGTTTTCAACATCTCGGAATTCCCCAACGTGTCGTGGAGATGCTTCATTGATCTATTTAGGATTTGGAGCAATCAGTTGATCCCGTGCCCGATGTTGCTATTCCATTGGTATGTGACAGGCTGCCTTGTTACCATCTTTGGAAGCTGGGTACAGAAAGGAAAACAGCGAGAATCTAAAAATGAACAAATGGATAAATAAATGGGATCATCTGGGAACACCCTGTGGCCAATCTGAGACCCGACAACTTTTTATTTTTATTTTTATTTTTTGGCAAACCAATCCAAAAGGGATTCTTTGGCTAAGAAACAGTACAGGGAAAGATGCCGACTGCTCCAGTCCCTGGCAAGTAAGAACAACTAGCTTTTCAAAAGGATTCCTAGAATAGAATAGAGCTGGAAGAGACCTTGGAGGTCAATAATAAGCTGGATGGACAGCAGCCTTGTGGGTAGAATAGAATAGAATAGAATAGAATAGAATAGAATAGAATAGAATAGAATAGAATAGAATAGAATAGAATAGGAGAAGAAAAGAACAGAGTTGGAAGGGACCTTGGAGGTCTTCTAGTCCAACCCCCTGCTTAGGCAGGAAACCCTATAGTATACCATTTCAGACAAAGGGTTATCTAGTCTCTTCTTAAAAACTTCCAGTGTTGGAGCATTTACAACTTCTGGAGGCAAGTTGTTCCACTGATTAATTGTTCTGTCAGGAAATTTCTCCTTAGTTCTAAATTGCTTCTCTCCTTGGTTAGTTTCCACCCATTGCTTCTTGTCCTACCCTCAGAGAATAGCTTGACTCCCTCTTCTTTGGGGCAGCCCCTGAGATATTGAAGACTGCTATCATGTCTCCCCTAGTTCTTCTCTTCATTAAACTAGACGTAGCCAGTTCCTGCAACCGTTCTTCATATGTTTTAGCCTCCAGTCCCCTAATCCCCTTTGTTGCTCTTCTCTGCACTCTTTCTAGAGTCTCCACATCTTTTTAACATCGTGGCGACCAAAACTGGATGCAATATTCCAAGTGTGGCCTTACCTAGGCTTTATAAAGTGATATCAACACATCACGTGATCTTGATTCTATCCCTCTGTTGATGCAGCCTAGAATTGTGTTGGCTTTTTTGGCAGCTGTTGCACACGGCTGGTCTTCTAATCCACAAGTGACTGTCTAGTCGCTTCTTAAAAACCTCCAGTGATGGAGCGCCCACGATTTCTGGAGGCCAGCTGTTCCACTGGTTAATTGTCCTCACTGTTAGGAAGTTTCTCCTTAATTCCAGGTGAGGAGAAAGAAACTATAATGTGATCTGTAGAGTTTTGACTTTGCCTGCTTTGTGGATCAGCCACCGTTTACACCGTGGATTATGGCTGAATAAGCAATAGTGGTGATTATCTGTAGGATGAGGGTGGAAGTTTGTTCTCTGAGCTTGTGGGTTGGTTTCAAAACATTTCAAAACATTGAAGAGCCTTGGTGGAGCAGCGGACTAAAGTGCTGTTAAAGTAGCACTTAGCTTGCCTGCAATTACTGCAAGTTCAAATCTCACCAGGCTCAAGGTTGACTCAGCCTTCCATCCTTCCGAGGTAGGTAAAATGAGGACCCGGATTGTGGGGGCAATAAGCTAACTTTGTATAAAAAAGAACACCGCTTAGGGGGGCCTGAAAGCCCTACTAAGCAGGTATATACAAAAGTATGAAGGCTATTGCTTAACGCATTGTAAACCGCCCTGAGTCTCCGGAAAAGGGCAGCATATAAATCGAATAAATAAATAAATTTCGTTATTAAGTTAGGTAAGAACTTCAGCGGAATTTAGAGAATTTAATAATAATAAATAATTCCCTAAATTCCGCTGAAGATATTACCTAGCCTGGTAACAAAACATTCGGAAACCAACTCACAAAATTGGGAGAACGAACCTCCACCCTCGTGGCTGAGCATGTCAGGGAAACACAGCCTCTTGTGGTATATTCCACAAATCGTGGTCACGAAAACCAGGATGTCTCGTGACTTCTTGTGACCCAACCTGCCTATTGCCCTGTGCGTAATTATGCTAAAGATGGGGGTGTACACTTAACAATTTAGCAACCCTGAGGTGCTTCCATCTTCATCTACCTCAAAACCTCAAAGAAGAAGAAGTATAAGGCATACATTTGGTCTGGCAGGTTTATGAAACAGGAAGAGGTATTAGAAGAAGCAGCAAGCAGAAATCAGAAAGAGGAAGATGCAGGAAATAGGTAAGTTTTGGGCTGGTGTTTCAACACTCACAAAGAGACGGTGCAAACCCCCGTTGCAGGAGATCTGCATCGGTCTATGGTAGCCCAAAAGCAGAAGTCCGACAGCAAAAGGGGATATTTTTTAAAAAGATTTTTATCCTGGCTTTAAAAAAATAAATAACTCAAGGAAGCAAACATACTAATACGCCTTCATCTTCCTTTCCCCACAACAAGAAGTCTTGGGAGATAAATTGAGAGAGAGCACAAAGTCACCCAGCTGGTTTTTCATGCCTAAAGTGGGACTATAAAGATTGATAAGGAGGTTGATAAAAATACATTGGCTGTTGCAAGGTTGCTCCTCGGCTGCTCCTGACTTTGAGCAGTTCCCAGGATCCTGCTGGGAGTGAAACATGCTGACGCCAAGCCCTTGGGAATCCTTTAGTCTGCTAAATATCCGGGGGGTGGGGGTAGAGGAGACGTGACAGCTTTCACATCCATCCCAGGAAGTACAGGACAGAATTGGTCTCCACTGGGAGAAGAAAGGGGGAGTTTCAAAGAGTGGGGCGATAAGCCCATTTCCTGGGTCTCCTCAGGTGGCATTTGCATGGAGATGAGACGGAGAGATTCATCTATCCGGCAGATCAAGTCTGGGGAAGGAGATCCAGTTGATCACCAGGTCCAAACCAGCAGTGGGTTTCAGCAGGTTCTGACCAGTTCTGGAGAACCGGTAGCGGAAATTTTGAGTAGTTTGGAGAACCGGTAGTAAAAATTCTGACTGGCCCCGCCCCCATCTATTCTCTGCCTCCCAAGTCCCAGCTGATCTGGAGGGAATGGGGATTTTGCAGTAACCTTCCCCTGGAGTGAGGTGGGAATGGGGATTTGGCAGTAACCTTCCCCTGCCACGCCCACCAAGCCATGCCACCCCCACAGAACCAGTAGTTAAAAATTTTGAAACGCATCACTGGTCCAAACCCATCAAGCCAACATCTCAAATCACCTCTGGGACTTGAAGGCACTTTCCAGAATCCTTTCTGGGTGTTCCTGCCATGTTCTGGGTGAATAGCTGCCTACCTCTTTATTCACCTGGGTGTGTCCTGAACCATCATTGATGGCTGTTATTTTTATAAGCTGTCTTGCAAATTAAAAGAGAAACAAGGGAGGCCACCGCTTTGTTTTGAGAAACCGTAGGCAGTAAATCAGTGGTGAAATGTAAAATTATTTACTACCGGTTCTGTAGGCGTGGCTTGGTGGTGGTGGGGGTGTAATGTGACCGGGTGGGCATGGCCAACTTTTTTTTTTTTTACTTTTAAAAGCATTTTTTCTACAACCTTAAGAGGTTGCAGAAAAAAATGCTTTTAAAAGCCTCTGACGATCCCAGCTGAGCCATGTGATCATCAGAGGCTTTTTTTTTTTTTTTTTTACTTTTAATAAAAGCATTTTTTCGGCCAAAGAGGTTGTAGAAAAAATGCTTTTAAAAGTAAAAAAAAAAAGCCTCTGATGATTGTGCAGCTCAGCTGGGCATGGAGGGGTACCTCAGGGATTTTTGCTACCGTTCTCCGAACCACCCACCACCATCACTACCGGATCCAGTGATCCGGTCCGAACTGGGAGCATTTCACCCCTGCAGTAAATGTCAAAATACAAAAAGAAACCCTTGCTGACTGGCCTATGGACGTGGGAACAAACCAATGAAAAAAAAGGCTCACCAACCCCTAAGAATATCAGCTGGGGTGGGGTGGGGGCTTACAAGCGCTAATCCGCAAAGTATATCATAAAACGAAAGTAGTTTCTTCCATTAGAAAAAAAAAAGTATCGTTCATTGTTTACATAAAATGGCACAGCTCAACAAAGTTTTTACAGAACCTGAAAAACATAACAAATTAATCTCAAGGCTTTTCACAGTTTTCTAGGGACAAAAAAAAAATAGGTTGCTGGTGAAGATAAATTCACCAGCTCAAAAACACCACTGTAAGTGTAAACATGGATTTGGACACGCAGTCAAGTCCTTTCGCGTAATTCGCTGGATTGTGCAACTGCTCAGCCTTTGGGTTCCAGCCAAGCTAACAATGATCTTGTTCAGCTTCAGATCTGCGGTGTCATCTTATCCTCCCCAGTGGTCTCAATGCGCTTATCACGGCTACCGCATCGAAACCTGACTTAAGCAATTAAGATATGCGTAAACCCCTTCCTAGACTTTCTACATTCATGCGCTTGTGACAAGCAAGTGACCTGGAGAAAAAGGGCAATAATAATAATAATAATAGATGCAAGCATCACCAGTCTTGCCTGCCATTTTGTCTCCTTTTGAGAAATTCTGGCTTCGTCCTGATGGGGGGCTAGGTTGCTATCACACCGTTTGCGTAGGGCTAAAAGCTTTACCAGTTTGATTGCAGATGGCTGTGTTGCTGCTGAACTGGCACGCGTGTATAAAAACACCAGTCCTTTAGAGTTAATGTTACTTCACAGAAGCTACCATGTGGCTTGATATTTAGTTTTCAATAACTTTGGGGACAAAGGTTGTTGCTCTTCAGTTGCCAGCTGAAGAGTGAATTTCCACTGCTCCTGTCTGCATTTGCTGGATCCATCAAGGTGTGTTCAACGAATAAGCGAATGCGTGCAAAGGTCTTTCTCCAAGAGGTCACCCATCACCTCTTGAGATGAGTCTTTGTCCTGCAGCATTGGGCTTGCTTGGTTTACATTCAGAAGTCGTTTGATATAAAGACAGCAACTTGACGTTCTCATTTCCTGTAGGCGTTGCGAGTAGAAGCGCAGGTTTTTCCTTGGCTAGCTCATCTTGTAGTCTGTTTCTAGAACAAGAGACAAACACAAGGCCAATGAAATGCGGCAGGCAGAAAGTCAACAGAAGAGTCCTCAATTGCCCTCAACGGCATGATAGCCCAACATCCTTGAAGAACTATAACTTCTACTTAGGGGTAAACCTGGTTAGATTCCCTCAAAGGTTGTTCTTGAAAATGTTGGGTGGGATAGGGTGGGTCATGAAACAGACTCCATAAGAACAACTCTACTTATTACACTCTCTTAACTCAACTCTTAAGAGTTTTGAAAGCCCAACAGTTTCTTCTTCTCTCCTCTTATACTTGAGAAAATGAAGGCAGGTCAACCTTGAGTGTCTTTCTTCTCTTTCAGGGCTAAACAGGTGTTGATGTAGCCGCTCTAGAATTCCATATTCAAGGTTATCTCTGTGCTTCTGTACTAACAGTTGCAATCATGCAAAGTACTAAATGTGACTAATATTAATTCAGATTTGCATTTCTGTGGCTTAGCACATTGAGCCAAGCCAACCCATATCCTTCTTCTGTATTCTGTGAAATGGATTCATTCAGTAACTAGTTGTTCAACTTTTAAGTGTAAATATATTCCACAAAGAAACCTAGACCATCATCCCCACTCGCTGTATTTTTTTAGCCTGAGTTTCCTTCACCTACTGATTGTATCGGGTTTAATGAATTCGGATGGATATTCAACCGGCAGGTAATCTTCTCTCTGATCTTCAAACATTCGTTTCAGAACTTTTTCAGGGTCAGGAATTTTCGGGAAAATCAACAGCTGAATCCTGCAGAGTGGAGAGAACCAAATAATCAGAATATTCCAGATTGGGAGGTTTGGGTTTTCCCACATCTTTTCCATGGGCTGGGCAATGTAATATAATAATTCTTTAATACAAGCCTTCCTTTGTTTTCTGGCTTCCTGACAGATGCCCAGCAACAATGCAGATCGGGCCAAAGGAACATCTCACAGTCCCTGCAATTATTTTCTTACCTCTTCAGATAAACGAGGAGAACGATGGTCAGGATTGCAGCACATAATGGAATCGTGACAAACAAAATAATATTCACTGTTTCAAACTTGTCCCGATTATCTAAAAAAAAAAAAAAAAGGCAAGGACAATGACACTGTTTCCAGATGAAGCTAGAAGGACGCAAGAACAGACCACCGTTGCTAAATCATTTCCTTCAGAACAGTCAAGGAAGACTATGGAAACTTCACATGGTTGGAACCTCAATTTAGACCAGGGGTCGGCAACCTTAAACACTCAAAGAGCCACAAAGGTCCTAACTGGAAGCCCCCATTCAATTCTGGAGCCGACCAGAACTCCGGTTCCCCCATCATAGTCTCCTTCTAGCGCGGCATCCTTTTTCCTCTACCTGTCCTAACCGAAAGCCCTATCAATTGTAGAGCTGACCAGCAACAGGGAGCCGCAGCAGAGGGATGAAAGAGCCACATGCGGCTCCAGAGCCACAGGTTGCTGACCCCTGGTTTAAATTAAGCTGAACCAACTTGGTGGCTTAGTTCCTTAGAAACAGGTACTCACCCCAGGGCACCGCCTCGCTCCATTCACTCCAGAGACCCCGTGCTTCCTTGCAGTTAGTGCCCATCTTGCCCAGCACTGCCCTTACTCTGAGAGTGTGGTACTTCTTTGCCTCGAGGGTGACGGTTACTTTGGTGTTATCTTCTATAGGCTTTAGAAGAAACATGGACAGCTTTTCATCGTCTACTCAACCATCACTAGAATGGGGTTTCTCAAGATCAGCAACTTTTTTAAACAAAATTTAATTTTATTGATTTTTCTATTAAATACATTTCTTGGTGCTTAATAAACATCGTGTCGTCTGGGTATTTAGTTTGCTTAACAGTACAAATTTGCATTCTTAATCTCCACCCCTTTTTTCCAACCCGTTGTAAAATAGATTCCATGTTTGATAATATTCTACATCCTCTTTCAGTTTTAATTTTCAGTGTCAATCTATCCATTTCTGCACAATCTAATTATCTCTTCATCTCGCGGTATATCTTCATTTTTCCAGTATTGTGCGAAAATAATCCTCGCTGCTGTTAAGACGTGTAATATTAAATACATACATACTTTTCTTATCAGGTTTTCCTGATATTATACCTAATAAAAACATTTCAAGTTTAAAATCTACATGTTTCCATATCATCTTTTCTATCCACCTGTGTATTTTTGCCCATTTTTTTTTTTTTTTTTTTTGCTTTGGTACAAATCCACTACAAATGATAAAATGTGCCCATTTTTTGGTTACATTTCCAACATTTGCTAGACATATTTTTAAACATTTTAGCTAATCGAAAAGGTGGTAAATGCCATCTATAAAACATTTTATAAGGCTGCTGGAGAATTCTGGAAATTGACGTCACTTGTCTTAAAGTTGCCGAGCTTGGAAAATGCTGTCTTAGAAGTTTTAATGGACTTGACAGAAAAGGATCTCCAGATCTGTCTTTGAGGAAGAGTGAACCCTACTAGCAGTGAATGGAGAGAGGGGTGCAAAGCCATAATTTCTGTCTCCTTTGTGTGAAGTTGGGTTTTGCCAAGGAGCAGGCTGCTTGGAAGAGACACATTCATCATCTCTTGGGTCATCTTTCTCTTTAAAGGAGGAGAGATCCTTTACCTCATGAAGGGTTAGAGTTGAGGTCCCCTTTTATATACCAAGAGCTGTATGATGCAGGGACCCCTTCCCTGGATCAGGGCAGGAGGTCTTCTCTGCCATGAATCAAACCTGGTTCTCTCCATTTCCGTTGGGACAATTGACACCAAGAATTCCCCAACCAGAATGGCCCAAAGGAATTCTGGGAATTTCAGAGAGAGGATTAGAAAAATCAGCCATGGAAAATCTAAGGTCTCCACTATCTTCAGAGACGATATTGCACCAAGGGACATATCATATGTAAGAGTCTACTTTCAGTCTTCCTGAGTGGGATCTCCCTGGATGAGGTTCGGTGATCACACTGTTGTGATCATCATCATCATCATCATCATCAAATCTACATTTATATTGCTTCCTACAGAAATCACATCACCACTTACAATTTGTCTCCAGATCTTCTTTTGCCATCTTGGCTACGAATTATGGGGATTGGAGTCCCAGCCCCTCAGGAGTGCTCAGGATTAAATTATTGTGGTTTAATTGTACCAGAGATGGAGCCTCAAAGCAGTTTGCAGACAACTCGAGATAATTAACTCTACATTCCATGCACGATATTTCAAGCAGTAAAATGCTGCTTTTTAAAAAAAGAAATGAATTAAACACTAAGGCAGCTTACCTCTTCCTTAACGCCATTGATTTCAACATTATAGCATATGCCATTCCAGGAGCTGGGAGGGTGCCATGTTAGAAAATGAACATTACTGCCCTGCACGATTTTCAGATTTGATGGTGGATTAAGTTTTATTGGATAATCTAAAAGAAAAACAGACAAGGAGGTGCTGCATTCTTGTTCTAAATCCCATCTTCATTATTCTTACAAACACATCGAGATCAATCAACTGTCATGATGGGGATGAACTTCTCTCCCAGTCCCCACATGCTTCTGGTTCTTGGTAAAACTTCGCCCGTAATGAAGCATTGGTTGGCTTAACGATCACCGCGAAAAAGATAATAAAATCTGTTCGTCAAAGGATTGACCTCTTTTAAGACAGTTACAGCATACAACCATAACGGGCAAGCACATTGGCGGTTGTGACACATATTTTGAGTGACAGGGAGCCGCAGCAGAGGGGTGAGAGAGCCACATGTGGCTCCAGAGCCACAGGTTGCTGACCCCTGGGCTAGAAGGAGACTTTCCTTCAAAACTGGGACTGTCCACCAGAGCAGGGGTCTCCAACCTCGGCAACTTTAAGACTTGTGGACTTCAACTCCTAGAGTTTTTCAGCCAGCTTTGCTTTGCTGGCTGAGGAACTCTGGGAGTTGAAGTCCACAAGTCTTAAAGTTGCCGAGGTTGGAGACCCCTGCACCAGAAGACAGTCCTTACCTCCTTTCATTTCCTTACAAAGACCCCACCAAGAGGGAAAACCTACCAGACTTTTCTGTACCTTCCTTGGTAAGCACGCACACCGGCTGGATGTCTTCCGAGTTGCTTCGGAGAGAAAGGACCAGGGTGCGTTCTCCGGAACAGTTGATCGGAAAAACACATCGGAAGGTGTCTCCATCGACGCTACGATTTGTGCATCGCTGCCTTTCTTCCAAATTGTCGTGCCTGAAGGTGGGTGGATAAACAGATGTGAGCAAGATTCTCCAATCTGTGCACCAACAAACGTAGCCACACAGTGTTAGTTTCTGTGGTGCAGAGAGTCAAGGAGATGACCTCAACAGAGGCATGTGGAAAATCTTGCCTAGAGAAGGAGGGCTGAATTTTCTTTTTTAAGACCAGAGCAATGAAATAATATCCAGAAGCCTTCATAATTGAGCGGTAGCAATATTTGTCAGCATTGTTTCTTTAAAATCTGGGGAACTCTGGAAGTTGAAATCCACCCATCATAAAGTTGCCAAGATTGAGAAATGTTAAACTACGAGGAGGAGGAGGAGCAGAATAAATCATTGCAAGGTTGTGTGATTACAGCCAACCTAAGCCAAAATAATTTAATAGCCTTATAATAGTAGATATTTGTCTGTTACAGCTAAAAACTTTATCACAACTTCAAACAGGAATCACATTCTAATATCCCCATTTTCTCCAGTCTGGTTCAAAAACAAGATAAACCTTTGAGAAATATTATGAATTACTAAAGGATTTGGAATGCAGATATTCTGTTAGAAAGCAATTCTTCAGAAATGTTATTCTGAAATCTAGCAACTCATCCTTCGGACGAGCCGTGGAGATTGTCTGTCTGTCTAAAGACCTTCAAAAAACATTTTGAAACATCATTCCCTTAAATAAACAATGTCATCTTATTTTAATTTATCCAAGAGGTCAGCCTGCAGCACAATTTTAAGGACTGGGACGGGGTCCAAAACACAGCAAAAATTTAAACCAGGTTTAAAAAAGAAAACTTGAGGATGGATCTTGCCACCCACAACCGATTTGAAGTGTTGTGATGAGAATCGGTCTGGCGGGTGTTGCTGACAGGCCCCAGCTGAAGAGTTTTTCCTCCAATTATCTCCCTTGATTTAATCTGCCTCTTAATGGTGAAAAGCTCAGCTATTTCTGGATCTTCTTTCAGAGTTTCCACTCGAAGATCCAGATGGATTTCAGGAGCCATAAACACTAGATTAAAACCTTCTACAGTTCTGTCCTGGAACTTTGGAGTGTAAAAAATACAAAAGCCTACTGAATATCGATAGTCGACTTACAACATTCATACAACAAAGCTGTTGTACAACAAAGTTGTTGTACGACAACATACAACAAAGTTCATTTAGTGACCATTTGAACTTACAATGGTACTGGAAAAAGTGACTTATAACTGATTTTCATATTTATGACCGTTTGTTGTGGCCCGTCAGCGGCCTGTGCAGATTGTAGCTGATTCCGACAGTGAGGAGGCTGGTTTGGTGCTGCGCCAGCATCCTGTGCAGCTGGTACTCGAGTCGGACAGCGAGGAGGCTGAAGAGGATGTGGTGCCAGAGGCGGGGATTCAGCCAGGGCCTTCAGAACCTCCAGAAGCTCCTTTAAGTGAAGAGGACGAAGAGGAGGAGCCTCTTCTCAATGCACGGGCGTGCAGAGCTACCAAAAGGCAGGAGTGGCTCCTCAGGAGGAGGTCTCCTCAAGAGTAAGGCTTGGGGCTAATTGGCCACTCCTTTAGCCTATTTAAGGAGGAACATCAATTGCAGCAAGCTGTAGGGAACCACTTTAGTTCATTCTCCTTCGCGTCTGGATTCTATGCAAAATTGCTTCTGGGCTTTCGGCCAACTCTAGTAAGACTGTGATTACCTTATCTTAGAATTCTTGTAGGCTGTTAAGGAAGTTTATTAACAGCCTTTGGTTGAAAAAGACTGAGTTATTTGAGTAAAATAAGCTTTGTATAGATTTTGTGTGTGCTGCATTCTTTGGGGTCCGTAGCTGGGGCAGAACCTGTTGCAGCATCCCTACAGTCAAGTGATCAAAATTTGGACGCTTGGCAACTGACTCATATTTATGATGGTTGCAGTATCGGGGTGGGGTGTGTGTGTCATGTGATCCTCGTTTTGCGACCTTCTGACAAGCAAAGTCGAGGGGGAAGCCAGGTTCACTTAACAACTGTGTTACTAACAACTGCTGTGATTCACAGCCCTGGCAAGAAAGGTCATACAGTGTGGCAAAATTCACTTAACTGTCTCACTTAGCAACAGAAAATTTTGGGCTTGGTTGTGGTCGTACGTCGAGGACTAGCTGTAGATGACACGGGCTCCCGTAAGGGCGAAGAAAAGAACAGGGTTTTCCAATACAAACCAGAAGGAGAGGCTGTAGCTGGTGTCGCGTGGCGCTTGCCTTCCTCGCTTCCACGAACAGGCCATCCATTCCATGTTATGACAAACGCAGCTGACGTTCGTAGCTCCCGTTTCTGCTTTCCCTGCAAGGGGCAAAACCAGAACATCCATCTATTCCAGAGGTCTTCAAATTTGGCAGCTTTAAGACTTGTGGACTTCCAACTCCCAGAATTCTCCGGCCAGCTATCAAACTTGGCAGCTTTAAGACTTGTGGACTTCCAACTCCCAGAATTCTCCGGCCAGCTATCAAACTTGGCAGCTTTAAGACTTGTGGACTTCCATTCCCAGAATTCTCCAGCCAGCTATGCTGGCTGGAGAATTCTGGGAGTTGAAGTCCACAAGTCTTAAAGCTGCCAAGTTTGAAGACCTCTGGTCTATCCACCTGCCCAAAAGCAAGGAGGACAGCCTTACATTCCCCGGGTCTGAAATTCCCAGCTTAAGCCCAACATTAAATTCACCTGCCCAAATGGCCTTTGCCATTCTTAAGGGCAGCAGATTTCCAACCTTGGCCACCTTACGACTTGTAGACTTCAACTCCCAGAATTCCTCAGCCAGCATCGTAAAGTGGGCAAGGTTGGAGACCCTCCCCTGTTCTAAGGCAGCGGTCAGCAACCTGTGGCTCTGGAGCCGCATGTGGCTCTTTCATCCCTTTGCTGTGGCTCCATCGCTCAAAATATGCATTAGAACCGCCAATGTGCGATACCCGCTGGCATGCGAATTATTGAGCTTTTCGAGCCCCCAGTAGGCCAACCATGGATAAATCCAAGAAAAGAAAAATTTCAGAAGAAAACAGAACATTTAATTCAACTACATATGCTAGTTCTGTGGCCTCTCAGGAAATAATCAGGTACGGGAAAGGTTTTGTGGCTCCCGGTGTTTTCTTTTCTGTGGGAAACGGGTCCAAATGGCTCTTTGAGTGTTTAAGGTTGCCGACCCTTGCCCTAAGGGGTTTGCAATTAAAACCCCAGCAGACAGGAAAATCCTCAGGTAGGGAAATAACAACTCCCAAACTCCCCACCCCCAACCATTGTGTTTTCTATTAGCAGAGACCGGATCTGTGCCAATCAAAATATTTGCACCAGCATCCAAGTACGTGTGTGTGGGGGGGGATCTTGCTCGTGTTCCTGTCAAAATCGGTGTGCAAAAGGAATCCGTGTCTGTGACCCCCCCCCCTTCGAAGCAAGAGTGGGTGGCCTTGCACAGCTGCTTTAAGGAGGCACCCAGACCCCCTCCTGGGCTCTCATCTTGCACCCTCCCAAACATCCGTGCGCCTTTGGCTCTCAGGCGCTGCCCGGTCCAGTTGCCAGGCTGGTGTTGAAAGGCTCCCAGCCTCATTGCTGGTTTGGCTCCAGAGATGCGGCCAACTCCTTTCTAGGAAAGAGGTCTGAGATGTTTACATGTGAGGAGGCCGCTGCAATTCCTCGAGACATCAATCTTACGGGAACATCTGCATAAACCCTGCGGCTGGAGACTCACCGTTCTGTTCCAGAGGGATCTCGAACAATTTTCCTTCGTCACTGTTGTTCCTACAAGCTGTTCGTAGCCCAAAAGACATGTTTTTCCCCAGAGGGACCGCCATTTTCTTGGAAAGGGCTTCACTCCATGTCTAACAAGGGGAAAGGGAAGGACATATAGGCATCATAGGATGATCCCAGCAGGTCTCCTGGGGGGGGGAAATCTCAGGGGTTCCCTGCCTTATTACGCCTCTCGATTTCTTTTTCTTTCTTTCTTTCTTTCTTTCTTTCTTTCTTTCTTTCTTTCTTTCTTTCTTTCTTTTTCTTTCTTTTTCTTTCTTTCTTTCTTTTTTTCTTTTCTTCCTTCCTTCCTTCTTTCCTTCCTTTCTTCCTTTCCTTCTTTCTCTCTCTCTTTTTCTTCCTTCCTTCCTTCTTTCCTTCCTTCCTTTCCTTCTTTCTCTCTCTCTTTCTTCCTTCCTTTCTCTTTCTTTCTTTCTTTCTTTCTTTCTTTTTCTTTCTTTCTTTCTTTCTTTCTTCCCTTCTCTCTCTCTCTTTCCCTTCCCTTCCCTTCCCTTCCCTTCCCTTCCTTTCCTTTTCCTTCCTTCCTTCCTTCCTTCCTTCCTTCCTTCCTTCCTTCCTTCCTTCCTTCCTTCCTTTCTTTCCCCTCCTCTCTCTCAGCTCCACAAGGATTTGCTAGGTCAGGGGGTCCCCAAACCCCAATTCTCAGCCCAGTACCACTCTGTGGCCCATTGGGAACTGGGCCACCCAAGGAGCGGGCGAGTGTTATAAATTATAGGCTCGCTTGTGGTTGTATCTCGAGGACTACCTGTATATGGGGTACTGGTAATCCTTGATTTACAGCCCTTCAAAGTTACGAGGAGAAAGTGACGTACGACTGTTCCCCGTCCTTACGACCGCCATAGCATCCCCACAGTCCCATGGGGATCAAAATCTGGGCACTTGGCAACCGGCATGGACTTATGACGGTTGCAGCATCCTGGAGTCAGGTGGTCCCTATTTGAGACCTTCCCAGCTGGCGTCTGACAAGCAAAGTCAATGGGAGAAGTTGGATTCACTTGGCAGCTGCAGCCATTTGCTTAACAACCATGGCAGAAAAAGTGGTGAAATCAAGAGCCGCTCACTGAAGAGCTCTCTTGCTCAGGAATGGAAATTCTGGTCCTGATTGCGGTCGTAAGTTGAGGACTCCCTGTAAGCGATTCACCAGAGAGGGGCCACTCTGAAGAAGGCCCTGCGGAGTTCCTGGTTCCCCCCAGGAAAGAAAATCCTTCTCCGATTGTACCAGCTGGACCCATCCCCACCCGAGCGGCCCTCCTGAGGACCAGCAGCCTCTGCCCCACGGACCCCCCTTTCCCCAGAGCCCCAAAGAAAGAGGAGCCTCACCTCTTGGATCCAGGTTTTGCCATCGAACAGGGCCGTGTAATACATCTCCCCACAGGGATAGCCGGGCGGGAGCCTGACTGGATCCCACTGGACGCTCAAGATGCAGTTGCTCTCATCGAAGACGTAGCTGATGTTGGCAGGGGAAGGCAGGATCGAGAGAGCCCCTAGGAGGGAGGGAAGGAAGGAAGGAAGGAAGGCAGAGGGAAAGGTAAGCCAGGGCTCGCTTGCCAAGGGGACCCTCTCTTTTCCTCTCCCCTTTCCTCCTCCTTCTTCCTTCCTTCCTTCCTTCCTTTTCCTTTTCTCCTTCTTTTCTTCCTTCCTTCCTTCCCCTTTTCTCCTTCTCCTTCCTTCCTTTCCCTTTTCTCCTTCCTTCCTTTCCCTTTTTTCCTTCCTTCCTTCCTTCCTTCCTTTCCCTTTTCTCCTTCTCCTTCCTTCCTTCCCCTTTTCTCCTTCTCCTTCCTTCCTTCCTTCCTTCCTTCCTTCCCCTTTTCTCCTTCTCCTTTCTTCCTCCCTCCCTCCCTCTTTCTTCCTCCCTTTCTCTTTCCCTTTCTCTTTTCCTTTCTTTCCCTTCCCCCCTCCCCCCCCCATTAAAAGGCCAAGCAGGAACTGTGACTCAGAGCAGAGTGATTCAGACACTTTGATTTCCAAGAGATCTCTGCAGGGGGTCAACTTCAGAGGCCAGATCTTAGAGGATTCCGTCACAGGATGGGTGGGGAGAAAAGGGCAGGAAGGGGCTGAATTCTGGAACCCGAGTGGGAGGGAGTTTCAACCCAGAAAAGTCCGGCAGAGCTTGGTGGATTAAAAATAACCACCTTAAAAACATCCCTGCCCCCCCATAAACCACCATTAAACTAAGCTGTAGTTTAGCAAGTTAGGTGAGTTTGCCCCGTGAGTCTATCTGGTGACTTGTTTCTGTCCCCCTGTAAGATTAGGATCCCAGCCTAATTATGATTTCGTAATTCATTTCACCGCCTGCCGTTTTGTCCGGCAGTTGTGTACACCCCACACGCAAAGAGAGGAAACCCCAAGATAACAGCCCCATGGTGCAATTTTGGAACAGCCCCGTAGCTCTGCCCTCGGCTACAGCTGAGGCTGCCAGAGCCAGGAGTCAGGCTGATGCCAGGAAGGACGGGCAGGGGGGCACCTCAGAGCTATTCCTATCTCCTGAATCACCCCCGGGGCCACCGAGGGTCTCCAGCCCTGCCTTTGAGTGGCCCTCCCACCCGAGCCCCTCATTCTGAGCAAGAACCCCTTTTATACCAGTGGTCCTCGACTTACGACCACAACTGAACCCAACTTTTCTGCTGTTAAGTGAGACATTAAGTGAAACTGGCTTCCCCCTTGACTTTGCTTGTTAGAAGGTCTCAGAAGGGGCTCACGTGGCACCAAGGGACTCAGCAGCCCAAGGGGCTCCTGATCCAGTTCTAGAGAGGAATGATTGAGTGTGTCATCTGCACCTCCATCACTGTCTGGTTTGGTTCTGCAACCCAACAAGACAGACAGAGACTTCAGAGGATAATTAGAACTGCAGAAAAAACAATGGCTACCAACCTGCCTTCCGTTGAGGACCTGTATGCTGCACGAGTCAAAAAGAGGGCTGTGAAAATATCCACAGACCCCTCGCATCCTGGACATAAATTGTTTCAGCTCCTACCCTCAAAACGACGCTATAGGGCACTGCACACCAGAACAACTAGACACAAGGACAGTTTTTTCTCCAAACGCCATCACTCTGCTAAGCAAATAATTCCCTCAACACTGTCAAACTATTCACTAAGGCTGCACTACTATTAATCTTCTCATCGTTCCCACCACCTATCTCCTCCCACTTATGATTGTATGACTATAACCTTGTTGCTGGTATCCTTACAATTTATATTGATATTGTTTCCTGATTGCTTATTTGTTCCCTATGACTATCATTAAGTGTTGTACCTTATGATTCTTGATGAACGCATCTTTTCTTTTATGTACATCGAGAGCGTATGCACCAAGACAAATCCCTCGTGTGTCCAATCACACTTGGCCAATAAAGAATTCTATTCTATTCTATAATTACGAGCCAGTTGCCAAGCATCTGGAGTTTGGATCATGTGACTGTGTGGCTACTGCAACAGTCGTAAGTGTGAAAAACGGTCATAAGTTACCCATTTTTTATTGTGCCGCTCTAACTTTGGATGGTCTAAATGAACTGTTGTAAGTCGAGGACCAACTGTAATGGTTGTCCGGTGAAGATGAAGCCTCTCTTTGGTGCAGACGGCTACCAGTTGAGCTGCACCACCTGGGAAGGTCTTTTGCCAGTCCGCAGCCTGGGGAAGCCTTGGCAAGAGCTGACTTGGGCACCACTGACCCAGGGCTCTGCCCCAATTGGGCCAGGGCAATGGAGCTGTGCTTACTCACTGCTGGAGGGGAGGCTCCTTCCCCCCCCTGGTTCTGGGGAGGAGGGGCAGGGAAAAACCGGATGCCCTTTCCTAACTGGGTGCCTTCCGCATCATTCCCCACCAGGGCACCTGAGGGCAGAGACTCCAACACATCCAGGTGGCATCAAGTTGGAGACACTTCCCTTTCCAACTCCTTCCTTCCTTCCTTCCCTTTCTTTTTCCTTCTTTCCCTTTCTCCTTCCTTCTTTCCCTTTCATTTTCCTTCTTTCCCTTTCTCTCTCTCTCCCTTCCTTCCTTTTTTCCTTCTTTCCCTTTCTCCTTCCTTCCTTCCCTTTCTTTTTCCTTCTTTCCCTTTCTTTTTTCCTTCCTTCTTTCCCTTTCTTTTTTCCTTCCTTCCTTCCTGTTCTTTTTCCTTCTTTCCCTTTCTCTCTCCCTCCCTCCCTCTCTCCCTTCCTTGCTTCCTTCCTTCCCCCCAATCATTAGGCAATTTTGACAGCCAATATTTGCAGGATCTTCCCTCCAAAGGAAGCAAAGAAGGGGAGAGGACCCCCTCCCCCAGGTTTCTCCAGGAGGTGGGGGGTGGGGAAATCGCACTCCTGCTAAGGAAACTGCTCCTTGGCTTTATTTATTAATTTCATCCATTTATCTGTCCCGCTTCTGTACCCACCCACCCCAATTGCCTTTGGGTGGCAAACCACATCACAACAACGGACGCCATAAAACCAGCTGCAGCCCACCACAATGGATCTGTTTGGGGAAAGACCCCATTGCACTGTGGCCCCCTCCCACCCCCGTCAGGCGGACCCTGGACTACACCTCCCATCAGCTGGGAGCGTGGCCAGAGGCTGCTCTTTCCCTGGGGCTGTTAGAGGAGGGGTCTCCGGGAAGCGCCCGTCGGCTCTTCTCTACCGCCCTAACCTGATTTGCCACGATATGGCAAATATCGTGTTGCCATTGTCGCTATTCTCTACTGATGTTGTTGTTATTACTATTAGGTTACTACTATGACTCCTCCCGTAGTCTGGAATCACGTCCCCAGGGCAGCAACGAAACAGACCCTTGGAAATCAAATGAAAGTAGAAGTGGCAAAAAAAACAAAAACCCAACGTTGCGTCTTTGAGCGCCTCGCTTTTACTTCTGGGAAGTCGAATTATTCAGCGCTTCAACGGAACGCCTGGCGAGGAGAGGATGGGCTTTGTAGTCTAAAGCCCCCCCACCATCCCCAGCCCCCCAGCCCCCTAGGACGGCGGGCTGCGCAAGGCTGAGCGGGCTGGGGATGATGGGAAGTGCGCTCTCTCCCCGCGAGGCAAGCGGAGCCCGGAGGGGCCCCGGGAAACGCCCCCCCCCGCCCTCCAAGCCCCTCACCTGCGGCCAACACCACCCCTGCCAGGTGGGCCAGCAGCTGCGGCTGCCACGGGAGCCTCATCGGCGCGGCCGGAGCTCCTGCCGGATCGCTCGTTCGCTCTGGCTGCCGGGGCGGGCTCAGACGGGAAAGCTCCGGAGTTGGGGCCGCCCCGGCCCGCCCTAGCCGAGGTGGGGCTTCGCTGCACGGGGCGGCTTCCCCGGGAAGGGCTGCGGAGCCTCTGAGGGCGCGCAGAGCGCCACCCCGTCCCCACGGCAAGCCTGGGCTTGGGCTGCGGGGGAGGCGCGGAGGGAAAGCCCCTGCCCCAGAATAAGGGGGCTAGGCGAGGCCGGGGACACCCCCCCCCCACCCCAGGACCGGCTCTGCGACGAACGGAGAGTGGGCTCCCTGCTCCCCCTCCCTCTTTTTCATTTCGTTAACAATTGCAATGAAAAGGATACAAAGGAATACAAAACAAAGGCATCAAGAGGAAAATGGAAAGTGTAGAAAAGAAAAGAAACCATAACGATACAATAAAAAAAGAAACAAATATATAAATGTATTCTCCTTCAATTCCAATCTTTATTGTGTGTGTGCACAACACACCTGCAATGAGATTGGTTGAGCTCCCTCGGTGCAACCCCCCCCTCCCCCAACACAATGCAACTCACAGCGAAGACAGAAAATCCCCAACCCAATAAACCATATTAACAAAACAACCCAGTTCTATTGCACCAGTGTGAACACGTTACACGTTGCACGGGCCCTGCAGTCCATCATACTATGTAGTTACGAGGTTATTTCTCATTCAGGAGCCTGACAGCCCACGGATAAAAATTGCTCTTTAGCCTGTTTGTACCGCTGACTATGCTTCTGTATCTCCTTCCAGATGGTAGGAGGGTAAAGAAGTGATGGCCAGGGTGACAGTTGCCCCTGAGGATTTTCCTCCCTCTTCTAAGGCAGCGAGCCCCAGCGATCTCATCTAGTGGTATCAGGACAGCCCACGAAGTTTCACCACCCTCTGCAATGTTTTTCTATTCGCGGCTGTCAGACTGGCATGCCATACCATTATGCTTTAAGTGAGGACGCTTTCTGTTGTGGACCGGTAAAAGGAGGTCATCAGTTGTTGTTCCACCCTGTTTTTACGCAAGACCCTAAGGCAGGGGTCAGCAACCTGCGGCTCTGGAACTGCATGTGGCTCTTTCACCCCTCTGCTGCGGCTCCCTGGCACTCAAAATATGCGTCACAACTGCCAATGTGCAACACCCACCGGCATGCGATTTATTGAGCTTTTCAACCCCCGGTAGGCCAACCATGGATAAATCCAAGAAAATAAAAGTTTCAGAAGAAAACAGAACATTTAATTCAACTACATATGCTTCTTTTGTGGCCGCTCAAGAAATAGTCAGGCACGGGAAGGGTTTTGTGGCTCCGGGTGTTTTCTTTTCTGTGGGAAACGGGTCCAAATGGCTCTTTTGAGTGTTTAAGGTTGCAGACCCCTGCTCTAAGGAAATGGAGTCTCTGTTGGGCCTTCCTGACCACCTGGTGAGGTCTTCACTGAGATGGATTCCCAGGAATTTAAAGGTGGAAACTCTACACGGCCCCCCCTTGATGTAAAGTGGGGCAGGTTCCTCTCTCTTCCTCCGGAAATCCAACACCATCTCCTTGGTCTTGCTGATGTTCAGGTGCAGATTGTTTTTTAAGCATCATGTGGAAAGTTTTTGAACCTCAGTGCAATTATAAACAATTTTAGTAATTTACTCTTTCAGTCCTGATCAGTGAAAGTCCACTAGGAATTGCCAGAGATAACAACCTCTTTTAACCTTGATCTAATAAACCAACTTTACATTCCTTCTTCTTTTTACTTTTAACAATTTTGATCTTTGAATCACTTCAAATAATGCCCTAGAACTTCATTTTTATTCTTTGTCTCTTCTCACAAAATTCTTCAAAGCTTTAACAAGTCTCTTTTGCAAATCCAATTAGAAAAGTTATCCAGATCATACTTTTATTTCTGTATCACTTTTAATTATGAGGACTTCAGCTGGTTTCAGTTGTATATCGAGTATTGCATCTGTCTCTTGCCTGTCATTTTAAATTTACTTTTACGTAATTCTTAGTCTTGTCCAGTGAAACTTGTTCCTCTTCCGGAACATCTTTTAAGCACAGTCTATCTATAGCAGCAGAAACTCTTAAAATTAACTTTGGGGTCTGTTGTTTAACCATAACCTTCAACATCTCCAATGTTAAAGTATTTTGTTCCATTCTGCATTTGTCTATCAAACAGGTGTTCTTCTCCTTTAATTGTAATGTGTAGCTCTTTCTTTTTCCCTCTTAAGTGACCAACCTTCTAAGTCCCATCCTCCCATTAAAAAAAAGAAAGAAAAGAATTCAAAACAATGATCCCACGGGAAGGTTGCTTATAATTAACTCCAGAATCTTTATTTCAAATCCATCTAGTCTGTTTGTAATTTTCCAAAAAAAAAAACCACCCCAAAAGTAACCCTTTGGCTGTTTATTTCAAAAGAAAGCAACTCTCAAGTCCTTAAACTTGTATTTAAAGCTGCTTTTGTTAAGGATTGAAGGAAACTCACCTGGTGTCAAACCGTTTGATCCAAAGTTTCCCGATAGTTGCAAAGCAATTAAGAAGCAATTTCCAGAAGTCCTTAGAAAAGGAAGTGTGCGAAGCAGTGTCCTTCGAAAGACACAGACCGCAGGTAAAACGAAATGATGGCTCACCTCCCAACGGCTCTAAAGATGCCGGCTGCTGCTGTATTGCAGACTCCTGGTGAGGAGATACCATCTGGAGCAGTTGTGGTCCATCTCAAGCCCTTTCCCTCTCCAGGGGAATTGCGTAGATCCAGTCTATCTGCTAACTCTTTCTTCTGCTGTGGTCATCAGCTCTACTTTTAACTCGCCTGTCTTCAGTCTGTCATTTCTCTACCTGAGGTGCCCTTAGAGCAGCAGTGAAATTCAATTTTTTTTACTACCGGTTCTGTGGGTGTGTCTTGGTGGGTGTGTCAGGGGAAGGATACTGCAAAATCTCCATTCTTTCCCCACTCCTGGGGGAAGGATATTGCAAAACCTCCATTCCCACCCCACTCTGGGACCAGTCGGAGGTGGCATTTGCCAGTTCTCCGAACTACTCAAAATTTCCGCTACAGGTTCTTCAGAACCTGTCCGAACCTGCTGGATTTCACACCTGCCTTAGAGACCCCTAAGAAATACCTGCCAGGCCAGACCGCAATGTCAGAGCAGTGAGGACCAGGTTGAAGCCCTGCTGCCCAGTTGCTGGTTGGCCTCCAGGTGCCATCAAGGAGGTGCTTATCAAGCAGAGTTGGCATGCCCTGGGTCCTGTCCCTAAAACTGATGGCACCCTGGAAATAGGCTTCTCCAGAACCGCATCCCACCAGGGAACTGTGCAGCTGCCTTCATGGTAAAGGTTCTTTTAAAAACAGCTTTCTCCCAGGACTTGAGCCTCTTCAGAGGACTTTTTCTGCTCAATGGGTTGGTTTCATATTCTGAAGACCGTTCGGCTTTACAGGGCTCCTTCCGTGTTGATTGCTGTCAATGGGGGCAGGCAGCCTTATGAAGCTTATGGATCCATACGTCCCCCACCAGGACATCTCTTTTTAACAGGGACCCACTCCCACATGATCAAAGGAAAACACGGAAAGGGCAAAGGGCCAGGCCTCTAGTTGCTGAAGTACCCATGAATCATCTAGAGGGATTTGCAGAAGTGAAGCTCTTCAGGAAACACACCCACCCACTTCGACAAAAATGACTTTTGTTTTAGAGTTGCCGTGAAATGTCAGGATTACCCCCAAAATGGTGGCACCTTTTGCATAACAAAGCAGTCATGGAAAACTCTCTCTATGTGGTTGCTGGCCTTTCGAGGAGCTAAGGTGAGGCTGTTTCAGGGCGATTTCCCACACAGGATACAGACAGGTGGCTCCAACTTCAGTGGGTGCAGCGTTCCACTGCAGAATAACGTCTGCTCACCTCACAGCTTAGTGGGAGGACCCTCTTTCCTTCCCAGAAAATCCCACCCCTCCCAGATTGCAGCCAGAAGGCAAACACATCAATGCTATCAACTTAAAAACAAAGGTTAGCATGTTGAAGTGCCAAAGGAAACTAGAGAGGGACAACTTCCCGAAAGACAATATATTCTTGGCAGCTCATTGCGCCACTGATATCAAACACAAAAACTCAGGATCTCAGGCCAGACAAACCTCTGGCTCCCCAACTTCAGCTGGGCCTGTATGGACGCTGAAAAGCCGTTGGCTGTTTTTGCAAAATTGGGAATAATAGATAAGGAGACAAGAAAGCACGGGAGTAAGAGAAGAGCCGAGAAAACCATAAGCTAATTAGTAATCACACCTCCAGGAATCTCCAAACTCATTTGGCCTGCAAGAAAACCACAGATTTCAGGAGGCCTCCCCAGCTTGTGTAAAACCCCACAAGTATCTATCTTTTAATGATTCTGGCTTGCCCATAACAATTCTGCTCTCCCACCCCCCACGAGTTGCTCGGCTGTGTAGGAAAAGAGGGGCGAGTCTGCTTCCTTTGGGGATAGGAAACCTCTCTCGGTTCTGCTTCTCTCTTCCTAATCTTGATAGCTGGGAATTCCCAGCCTGGCAGCCAAAAAGTACTCTGCATATGCTCAGAAGCTGCTTGCTTTTTCCAGGACCGCTCTGGCAGGGAGAAGGTGTTATAAATTAAGTCAGATGTGGCTCTACGTTTTTGCACCTGCTGGCCCTGAACGTCGCAATCGCTTTCTGTTCTATCGCAGGGGCCTCCCAATTTGGCAACTTTTAAGATTTGTGGACTTCAATTCCCAGAATTCCTCAGGCAGCGATGCTGAGCTGAAGTCCACAAGTCTTAAAGTTACCAAGGTTGGAGGGCCCCCCCCCCCTGCTATGACGTAAGTTGGTTTGTTATCACACTGTTCTTTAAACAGTGATAGAAACCCACAACCTCCAAGGCCTTTTGCAGAATGAATACCGAGCGCTCCCAATGCTTCAAATAGTTCTTGTGCAAATGTTTACCCTCCATTCAAATTGGAGCGTACATTCTATATCATCTGGATAGGTGACGGAAGAGCTTGTCCCTAAGTGACGATCCAGC